GAAGCCGGTAACGAAACAACAAATACACCCAAACAAATTCCCCACTCATCTCTTTGGCCTCCTCCGGGCGCACCCACCTCCACGGGAGTCCAAATTAACAAACAAATACATCGCGAAGGAGCTGTGCAAGCTGGGCCCGCTCTAAAATTTATTTAAAGGGTGGGAGGCACAAGAGCCGTCCCACAAACACCCTCAACGTCGCTGGCTGTGGCGCACCAACGAGAAAAACCGCGCATGCAGTGGCACCCCATACCGCAGGCCCCAGCTACACACGCCTAGAAACGTGGATGATGGCATCCGAGTCCTCCATCTCCCAGTACTCCTCCTTCGTCTGGGATAAAGACGCTCGCCACAAACCGCTGTGCGACGGACGCTCCACAAGGCGGCCCTCCCTCTCAGCGGCGGCGTTGAATAAATGCGGCGTATCGCTACTCTGAAAGGCAGACATAAGATGCAGACTTTCTGTACGCGGATCGCACCCAGCTGAAAGTTTACGGACTGTTTTCTCCATCACACGACCCATTTTGGACGCCAGACGCTCCATCGCCACGCGGCACGCCTCCTCATGCCCCGCCCCAACTCCGCGCGGCACACTGACCCTCCACCGCTCGCACAGAGGACGCAGCATCTTCAGCCGCAGCGGGGCCGCAAAGGTGCCAAACAACACAGCCAACACAGTCACGATGGTGTTCGGGACGCCGCTCATTGCGGTGGACGCAGAGGCCTCGTCACTGCTCCCCCATTCCTCGCCACCGTCGTCAAGCTCCGCCGCCTCTCGGTCCAGCCGCAGCGCCGCAAAGGTGCGCCCGGGCACGGCGTCCACTTGGTACATCTCCACGGGCCGCGGCACCCCGCGCAGCGCCACCGCGCCCAGCGCAGTCACATCCACCTCCTCCCGCTCTGCCGTGCTCAGCGCCATGTACGCCGCACGCGTCAGCAGCACCTGCCCGCCGTTCCCCACGCTCTCCGTGCGCGCCGCCATGTTCGCCGTGTCGCCGTAGTAGTCGTACCCCTTCGTCACCTCGTCGCGCCGGATGTCGCACAGCCCGGTGTGCACCCCCGCACGCACCCGCAGACCGCCCCAGTACTGCCGGTACACAGCGGCGTCCAGGCGCGCAGTCGGCGGCACGTACCCCTCCGTCTCCTCCGCCCGGCCCTCCTCAAACTTTCGGTACGCGGCGTCGAGCGCACTCGTCTCCCACTCGTGCCGCAGGAACACCTGCTGCAGCTCACGCACAAGCTGCACCGCGGCGAACACACTCTTGCACGCTATCATGAACGAGTCGCCGACCGTCTTCACCTCGTAGCAGCCGTACTTCGCGATCAGCACGCGGATCAGACGGTGGTGCGTCGCCACGGCGTCGGGCATCAACTCGGAACACGCGGACCACAGCGCCGTGCTGCTCTCGATGTCGG